TGTGGAAAGCAAATGAAAATGTCTCTCCTTGGATCTGGAGGGGCCGCCTGAATCTAGAAGCCTGTTGTGGGGGAGGCCCACTGGGAATCTTTGCTTCAGGAATGGAGCTGTGCACCTGCCTTACCCTGGGCAAGTGCCGCCTGGTTGGGTCGCTCGCAGGGGAGAAATTCTGGCCTTGTTGCTGGTCCGCGTGGAGAAGGAATGACCCTGACCAATCCCTTTCTGCTTCCTGTTTTTTCTGCAGCATCTGCAGGCGGGTTGATAGCAAACAGTGCGATCCCCGAGAAGGAGCGGCAGCACATTGGAGAACGGCTGCTGCGGGTGATGTGCACCGACCTCGGAGCCCTGAGCGTGGTGAGCGGGAAGGAATTCATCAAGCTGGCACAGACCTTGGTGGATAGCGGGGCGCGCTACGGTGCTTTCTCGGTCACAGAAATCCTTGGCAACTTCAACACGCTGGCCCTGAAGCATCTGCCTCGGATGTACAACCAAGTGAAAGTGAAAGTCACCTGCGCCCTGGGCAGCAACGCGTGCTTGGGGATAGGGGTCACTTGCCACTCTCAGAGCATCGGCCCTGACTCCTGCTACATCCTGACAGCATATCAGGCTGAAGGCAACCACATCAAGAGTTATGTCCTGGGAATTAAGGGTGTGGACATCCGAGATAACGGGGATTTTATCCACCACTGGGTGCAGAACGTCCTGTCTGAGTTTGTGATGTCAGAAATCAGGACAGTGTACGTCACAGACTGCAAAGTCAACGCCTCGGCGTTCTCCAAGGCAGGCATGTGCTTGCGCTGTTCGGCCTGTGCCTTGAACTCAGTCGTGCACAGCGTGCTGAGTAAGCGCACGCTGCAGGCGCGCAACATGCACGAAGTCATCGAGCTCCTGAATGTCTGTGAAGATTTGGCGGGATCCACGGGCCTCTCGAAGGAGACCTTTGGCTCCCTGGAGGAGACGTCTCCCCCACCCTGCTGGAACTCCGTGACTGACTCCCTCCTGCTCGTCCACGAGCGTTATGAGCAGATCTGTGAGTTCTACAGCAGAGCCAAGAAGATGAACCTCATTCAGAACCTGAACAAGCATCTTCTCAGCAACCTGGCAGCCATTTTGGCCCCGGTGAAACAAGCCGTGATCGAACTGAGCAATGAGAGCCGGCCCACCCTGCAGCTGGTTCTGCCCACCTACGTGAAACTGGAGAAACTGTTCACTTCCAAAGCCAATGACGCTGGCATAGTCAGCAAGCTCTGCCACCTCTTTCTAGAGGCCCTGAAGGAGAACTTCAAAGTTCACTCTGCACACAAAGTAGCCATGATCTTGGACCCTCAGCAGAAGCTGCGGCCAGTCCCACCGTACCAGCACGAAGAGATCATTGGCAAGGTCTGTGAATTGATCAACGAAGTGAAAGAGTCGTGGGCAGAAGAACCAGAATTTGAACCTTCTACCAAGAAACCACGGGCAGCAGGTGAGGCCCCTCCAGCTCAGGAAGACGAGCAGTTTGGGAAAAATGAAGTCTACGATTATTTGCAAGAACCCCTCTTCCAGGCCACCCCTGATCTATTTCAGTACTGGTCGTGTGTTACCCAAAAGCATACGAAACTAGCCAAGTTGGCCTTTTGGCTCTTAGCAGTGCCTGCTGTCGGTGCCAGAAGTGAATGTGTAAATATGTGTGAGCAGGCCCTCTTAATCAAAAGGAGGAGGCTACTCAGTCCAGAAGATATGAACAAACTCATGTTTTTGAAGTCCAACATGCTTTAAAACTGTCTTTTAATTAAAAAAAAAAACAAAAACAAACAAAAAATTTTAAAACACTGTTCCAAACAAAGAAAAGAATTTTAAGTTCTAAACACTGTGGACCTCATTATAAAAGCCCCTGGAAACCAAGTGCTTATATATGTGTGTGTATGATTTTATATATATGTGTGTGTGCGTGTGCGTATACATACATGTATATGTACATACACACACACACACAAATATATATATAAAATATAATAAAAAACGTAAGTTTCAGAGGGAAGCCGAGCACGAGTCAGACCCAGCCCTCTGCCAGGAACATGCTCCTTTCTGTTAGCTAGCATGTGGACTTGACAAACTTTCTAATGTTTTCAAGTGGGCGCACCAATGGGAGGCTGACATTCTAAAATCTTCAGGCAGCTGAGATCAAAAGTGACTTGAAGTTTCTTTTATTTCCCCTTCACCCCACCTCTCCTCTTGTCCCCTGGGCCACTTTGCCATGGATAATCAAACAGCATTGAACAGACCAGGTCTCTACTGGGCTTTGCTCCTATCAATAATTATACACCTTGAGGGCATTCGTTTGTAGCCTCCTTAACATATGTTGCATGTTATCAAGGCAGCTGTGTTTTACAAGCACTAATATCTGTAGAAGTCAGGAAGGAAGACTTTAAGGAAACACTTTTTTTTTTTCATTTTAATTTAAGAAAAAAATATCAAAAAATATGCTCTTGAGTTGAACATTTTAGCTAGTCATTTTACCTTTTTGATTGAGAACAGAGAGAAATTATGGCAAAAAGTATAACCGTGATGTTTTATAGAATTATTTTTACAGATAAACTTTTTCTCAAGTCCCGCTGTAAGCTTGCTCATCTCACTTGTACAGCTGATAGCAGTGGTTCTTAAACTGGTTCCTAGAATGGAACACATCTTCAGGGCAGGATTGTCATGGCCCATTGAGGACCAATGACGTCCCTGTGAGAACTGCAGCAATTGCTGACGTGGAGAGGTAAAGAATGAGTGTCGTTCAATACACTTTAACAGCTAGCACGGTGTGACTGGACAGGTCTCTGTGGACCACCACCAAGTAATCCATAGACCACTGATGGTCCACAGGCTCTACTTTGAGAGCCACTGATATACAACATTTCTGTAAGCTTTCCCGATACACATATCGAAAGAGTTTTCACTTGGTCAAGAACAAACCAGGGGTGTGATGTTTCAGGGCAGCAGAGGGTGTCAGGTTCCAAATGTAAGTTTGAAGGAAGCTAAGATAAGCAATTGGGCTCAAAGATCTGTCTGAATGTAAGTGTTCCCACTCAAGTTCAGAGCACTTCTCACGGTATTCTGAATGGTTTCCTCTGCTAGCACGAATGTCTTTTCAATACCTTCTAGTGCATTACACTACTTGTTACACGGCTGGATCATTTGGCTAATAAGGCCCTGTGACTTTAAGACTTCTTGTTCCCTGTCTTTTGAGACATGTATCCCATTCCCAACTGCAGTATAGGAGATCATCCTCAAATCCAAGTCCCATGAGTCATTTCTGCTGGCAGTCAAGGAGAGCTTTCTCGGGGTACTGCAAAAACTCACTGGGCAGCAGTGAGTCACAGAGCAGGGCTAAAAATAGCAGGGGAGATGTACCCCTTTGGGCTGGAACGGAGGCTCTGAGGCCTCCTCTGCTTGCTGAATCTCCGAGGCTGGGCACCAGCCCAAGTGGAAACATCAACACTACAATTTTTAGTCCCGAGCTGTGAACCTGAGTCGTTGGCCAGGCTCTGAGATTGACTGCTGCAGTGTGAGTGTGTGTGTGTGTGTGTGTGTGTGCGCGCGCACATGCAAATCCTGAAAGGTCTCGTGCCAGCACACAAAGTTGTGCGGTGCCCCAGATGACTTCTTAGCTCTGGTGTTCTTGGGCAAATCCAGGCTCTTGGTACCAAACGTAATTCTCCACCAAGTCAATTGCTTTCTTGAGGCCTCCTCACACGTCAAGCCGTTTGCTCCCTACTGGGAATCGCCGGGGACAAGAGATCGGTCTGGCAGATGTGGGTGCCCCAGAGGAGTGTCTAGAGCAGGTTGGTAACTGAAAGGTGGTGGGTTGAATTCCCTGAGCAGGAGGTGGGTATGCACTGCATCCTGCCAGTGTCTACTGGGGACAAGGAGGCAGGTGCACACTTAGAGGTACCATCCACGGAACATACAATAAGCCAAAGTCCCTTCTGCCCATCTCTGGTTCTGGTAACAATTACAGGTCTCAAGACACTTATTAGAAACGGAGGTTGTAAAGTCCAGAGTCCTGGCCAATAAATCCGTCTCCCACTAGAACAGGTGAGGACACCTCTGTCGCTGCTCACTTGCGATCTCTAACTTCGAATCCCTGGTTATGGCAGGCACTGAATTACGTTCTGGGTGGCCTGTATTGCTCAGAGCGTTCTTGCAATAGTTCCAGGCACCTCTAAGGACAACTTTTTGTATGGAGATCTCTTTCCCAACGGGCCTCTGCCCCTTCCCAGCTGGGAAAGCAGCACCATGTGCCGATCAGACAGGCAAGAAGCCAACACAATCTTCAGCCTAAGACATCAACCCAAAACCAACCATCTCCTACTGAAATTGTGTGTGTGGTTGTGGAGGTCTTTGTTCTAAGAAGGTTTCTAGCAAGTACAGCCCCTGTGCTGCTACCTGCTTCAGCAATAATATCATTTAAAGGCATCACTCAAGGACAGGAGACCACCCACAATGTATTTTCTCATGCAGTGGACTTCGCAGAGACATTTCTTTGTGGAATTTCTTTCTCCTTCAGTGCAAGGGGTTTTCTGTTTATTTCCTCCTACATGAGCCTGGCCTTTTTGAGCAACCCTACAATCATCAAGCTGTTTGCACATGCAATACAGGAGAAAAGTTTAATAAACAGAATTGACATTTCAAGCTAGCAAGGAGAAAAAGAAGCAGGAGAGAAACCCTGACTGTGAAAACTGAGAAATCTTCTGTGACATGTTTTAGTGACCTTTGGGAGAAAATAGGGATGCTTACACAATAAAATAAATACAATTAACAATGACCTGTTCCCTACCAAGAGAATGGAAGAGTCCCCAGCATCTAACAAGGGAGAGAAACAGATTCCAGGCACCAGGCACTTCACCTGCAAGCACCCATTAGCACTTTGTGCTACCCACAGGATGATAGTAGCCTAGATTTTGTGATGATGCTCCTGCTTCCTAGTCCTATTACTCAGGCCAGGTCTACCCTACACCTGGAACTCCAGCTACGCAAAATACCTTATGGTATTTTATCTTAAGCCGAGCTTGGTGCCGTCTTCACAAGAGAGGCCAGTGGTAGCAAACTTTCCCTTTGGCTTCCTTTACTCCTCCCAACTGCCAGAAGTGCTGGCACCGGCTGGGGTCGTCCTCAGCATTCAATTTAGTGGGTCTTCACTAGACCCACTAAATCAAACACCAGATCAATCTCTGATGTGGTAAGTATAGATGTGGTCTCCGACAGTAGCACATTCCACGGAGCGCGGATAAGTTGCAAAGGTTGTGAATTTAGGGAAAGGTTTTCCGTTGATTTGCCAACTTCTCTATTTATTTACTGCTGCTTAAGAGCTGCCAGTCCTGCAGTGGGAAATGGTAGGGCAGGGAAGGCTGTGGCCTCATGGTAGGGCCGTGTGCGCAGCCTGGTTCCAATCCCTTTCAACTAGAAGCTCTTTCATCCAGCTGTGGGTGTGTTGGGAATCTCCCCTCCCCATTCCTAAGAGGGACACATCAAACCTAATACAAAGCTTATATGTTTCATTGGTGAGGGTGGGGAAAGTTCTTCTTCTCTATGCTGTCCACGATGTGGCTGTTACTGAGGAAGCCAGCCACTACATCGGTTTGTGCCATGTGATTAAAATGCTGACAAACTATTTGGCTACACTGGCCTGGACACCTTTTGGGGGGATAGTTTTCTGTCCTGCAGCCTTGGCTTTTTGAACAACCCTGCACAGATCTGCGTCAGTGGCTAGCAAGTGGAGTGGAACATCCGGTTGCTGTAGAAGCAGTGTTGTTGTGCGCTGTCTACAGGCCCTCTGATGCATGCTTAGGAAACTGCAAAACACGTTGCTTCCCTCATTCAGTACTGAGACACATGTCTGTGCATGAAAACGGAATCTCGGTTCTGTAGGAAGAAATCTGTTGCTGCTTATTCTGCCCCGGATGTCGTATTTCTCTGGGACTTCACCAAGTAAGTGTGGAAATCATGGTGATGTCAGAATTGTCACAGAAGCAAATGAGCACCAAGAGTAGATGAACGCTAAAGAAACAAAGTTCCTCTTTTCCTGTCCAAATATCTTTACCAAAGGCTGAGAACTGAAAAAAATAGGATATAAAGGCAACATTTTTCTCAGCAGAAAGTTCTGTTTTTTGAGAGGGCCTGGCAGCTGAGATGCCCATGGGACATTGCTGAACCTATAACCCTCTTCTCTCTCTCTCTCTCTCTTCTCTCCTTTCCTGCAGCAATGGCATGTGTCCAACAATGTTCCACTCCACTGAGGCCATCTCCAGAATTGTTGGGAACTGGCTAGTGTCCAGTATCTTTGTTGGGTTTCAGGCTGGAGTGAAGGTTGTGAGCAAAGATTTGTCCGTATGAGAACATGTGTAACAGTTTAACTAATTTAAGTCAGTTTTTTAAAAAAACCAATTTAAATCAATTTAGTTTAAAAAAAAGAGTCTTAGTGAAACAAGTTAAGCGATGACTTACGTACCTGGGAAACAAATATTTAATAATGGGCTGATCAATCTAGAAGAGAAACATCTAACAATCCAATGGCTAAAGGTGGAAGATAGAAAAATTCAGATTGGAAATAAGGCCCAAATGTTTAACATTGAGAAGAATTGGACATTGGAACAATTTACCATGTGTTGTGGTGGGTTCTCCAGCACCCGATAATTTTTATGTCAAGATTAGCTGTTGTTTTTTCTAAAAGCTCTGCTCTAGGAATTATTTTGAGGACAAATAACAGGAGGTCGTATCACAGGGGTCCCTTTTGTCCTTGGAATCTATGAAAAATTGGTTCAAATCCCTAATGGAGACATTTAAACCAATCTAAACAAATGTTAAATTGGTTTAGCTTGAGTCTGTAAATTACAAAATTAAGTGAAACTAATTGAAGTAGGAGTGAAACTGGCAACATCTACATTAGAGGTTTCTGCCAATTTAACTAGATTCATTTACTGAACACGGATGTCATCTTTCTCTTAAACAAGGTGTAACATTTTAAAAATATCTAAAGGCCAGATTTAGACACCTAATCCCCTTTAAAATGTATTTAGACACCTAATCCCCTTTAAAAATGTGTCCTGGGATTACTTAGGAGCCTAAATCCCTTTTGAAAATGGGACTTTGGTGCTTCTGAAAACATGCCCAAGGTCTGAATTGCCATGTTGGAGAGTTCTTCTGGAGTCTTATATTTTGTTAGTCTCTAAGATGCCACAGGTCTCCTCGCTGGTTCCATATGGTGCCTCGAAGTTCTGTGGCTCTCGCACCGCAGGAAGTGGCTCTACCCTCCTTGTGCGTTCACACACTGTAGCAGTGGGAGGGTTTTCTGTAGGAAGAAATACGTTTGTTGAAGGAGGAGTCCATGCCGCCATGGCCAATCTGAAGCATACTTTATAGCACCTTGAATCCAACAGTGGCTGAACTGCCAGGTAATGTGACACAGAGGAGGGAGATCATAAAGAAACATTACACTAATGCGAAAAGACTGTGTTTACTTCTGGACACCACAAAGTTACCAACAAATCGGAAGCAATGGGAGTAGGTGGACTGACCAATGAAGAAAGATCTAAATCTAGTTTGGCTAAGTGACGGCCAAGAGAAGACAAGAGAATCTGAGTATTTGCAAGCTACAAATTCCAAGGGTGGAGAGGTGCGGCGTTCTTTAGGGTGGCCCAGGTGGAAGAACGAGCAATGGGTGGAAAAGAAAGGAAATGCAAGCTGCGTCTCAGGAATCCTGTCGTGTTGCAGAGGAATCTGTTCCATCTCGTCTCTTGAGAATGGGGTTGAAGCCCAGCATTTAAAACAAGACCAGACAGAGCAAGGAGGCCAGACTGCACAGTCCTGCGGTGGCCCCTCTGGATGGACAAAGTGACCCAATCGATTTTTTTTCCCGTCTCGACTATTTATACATCCACTTTAGAAGTTGCTGGTTGGCTTGTGGGGTGGCACCAATTCTGAGAGTCTCTGGGTACAAACAATAAATGGCTGCATCTCATTCATTCTCCAAGCAACAGTGGGAGATGGCAGAGAGGTAAATCCCACCGTGCAGCCAGCTGTGTCCCACCGAGGTTCTGAGTCCACGGGATCAGCTGGGTGTCCACTGAAGCAGCAGACCCAATGAGACGCTGCAGGTAAAATTTTCAATGGGACGTGGGTTCCTAAATCACTTTAGGTGCTTTTGAAAATGTTGCCCAGTGGCAATAAGTTCTCCCTTGTTCAGCACCTAGGACGACGCGTCTATACATCAGGGAAATGTTAGGCTTATGGAAACTTCATGAAGCCAAATGTGATAAATTTGCAGTGGTAAAACAAGCACAGATCCTAGGTGGAATGGCCCCTTGATACTATTATTTTGCTTACCCTAGGCCAGATATGGTAAACCAATGAGAGTGTATTGCCCTCTATTTCCTATAATAAAAGTTCTTCTGGGATGTCTGTTTAACTGTGTTGATCAGTTGAATTTTCGGGGAGGGGGAGTTTTTTGGGGCAGGGAGTTGTGATTTTTTTTTAACTATTCCGTTTGTCCTTTGTTTTATAACTTGACAGAAGAGTTTTGCTCCCGTTAGAGAACACTGTATCCAGTAGACCTTTTAAGGTTTTGTAATCTGTAAGCAGCTGAGTTTGAAATTTTTAGTGTAACTTCTGCAGTCGGTCACATGAATGGCTCGTTGGTGCCCGACATGGTCCACGGACTGAAAGGATTGTTTCCTCCTATATTTGAGTGTCACAGACAGCAATTGTCTTGGTATCCAGATGTGCAGCATCGCCTTAACAAAAGGGAGGTTTATCTGTGGAATTGATGGATAGAGACCTGTAAAACTCTTGCTATGTACAACCAAAGTTCCTTAAAGAGACCCTTCCAGCCTCATAAGCCTTGCGTTGTCTTCTGGGGATCCTGGGGGAGGTCTTTGAAATGTGTGTGGTTAGGGTATATTTTTTTATTTGTGATGACGTTATCTATGGAGAAGGACCGGTCAGCTTGAGAAGGGAGGCGCGTACTCTCAGAAGAGCAACAGAATCTTAGGGCCGTTGCGGATGTTGCCAGAGTCCTTTTAAATTCACTGGGAGGCTTTTATTTTCACCGTTTTAAAAGGGCAACTGATAATTGATGGCAGGTAGGAAGACACCTCATCAAGACTCTGAGGATTCCAGTCAATTCTGTAGCTAGAATGTCTCCTACCAACAAAATCACCAGGAAACCCTCATCTGCAGCCAGTCTCAAAAGTTCTTCATTATGTATGTTAAGTTCTTGAAACCTCCTGTTAGGAGCTGAATTCCTCTGATTTCATCAGGAAAATTATTAGCAGAGTTCTCCTATTCCTCCCCCTTTCCCTTCACCCAGTAACTTGTGTGCATTTACCTTCCTTTCTGTAGATGCAGATGTTCTAGGCAATACCATAGATGCACCCGCATGTGTATCTCCACGTGCGAGTGCAAGAATCTCATGCCATCTTAAAAAAAAAAAAAGAAAGAAAATATACAAAAAATATCTTTTTTAGGCCAGAGTTTTCTACAGGTATTAATGAATATTTTTCTTAATCCTTATAAGTTTTATGTGTTTAATATTTCTTAATACCAGTAGCATTAATTTATACTTTTGTAGCAACACAATATTTTTATAAACCGCCACCGCTGGCTTTATCTTCATAATGGGGAAAGGTGCAGGCAGCTGGGCCCGCACTGTACCATGTACTGTATTTAAAAGGTTATCTAATGTCACACTTGCTGTGTTAATAAACAAAACAAAACCTGTTTGAAGTCTCATGTATTGTTGGTGTGGATCGAATGACTCAACAGAGAGCAATATTGCACGGGATTGAGTTGCTGATTTTCATTGTGATATATGAATGCTTGAGGCTAACTCAAGTTCTTTTAGGTTTTTTCTTTCTAGAATTTTTTGTTTGTTTGTTTTTTACAACTAAATAAATTCAGTGCTGTTTGAGACATAGACTGACGTCAAATGAAAAGGATTCTTTAAAAAAAAATCAAGCTGTTTAAATGTTGCTGTTTCTACAAGTCTGTTGCTGCCCGAATGGAAATATTCCATGTGTGAAAAAGGAGTAATTCCACGTAGGATCCAACTAGCTCAGAGCTCCAGGACAGAGTTCAGTTACTTGGAGAGGTATCTTAGAGACATATTTCTGCAACATTCTTTTCAGAGTTGATGCCAAGGCAGAAGACAAACTGTAAGAAAGCATCCGTTGCTTGAGGATTTTCATGTCAGTGTTGTATTTATGGTTTTACAATAAAACAACCTTAGGAAAAAATAAGTGTGTCAGGTTTTCTCTTTTTTTAGGAACGTATCTGGGACCTCTTGGTAGCCCTTTGTTATTACAAGTGTGGAAGTGGTGATTACATTCCTTGAGATCTGAGACTGTAGCTGTATAGTCTTTGGTGGACTGTATGGACCAGCCATAAAACTCTGCAGTAGGCCTTATCCTGTGTTGTACCCAAAACGCCTGTTAAATATAACTGGTGTTCTGGGTCTGAGGAATGCAGAAGGAAGAAAAGTAAAAGGGAGGGGCATGCTAGCGGTTGGCTGTATTTAGCCCCAGAGCAAAATCAATCTCTGTTTTCAAGAGGAGGCCACATGGAATACGCAGGAGAGAGGCAGTGTAGGTGGCAGGAAATGTGTCCTTTTTATTTATTTTTATTTTTTAAAGGAAGACCAAGTAGTGAAAAGGTTTGCTGAGTATTACAGGTGTGGTTCAGAGCTGGGGGCGGAGGGTGAGCCCCAAGCCAAACTGTGGGCCACAAGTTCCTGACCCCTGCTGTAGGGTACAGACGATTTCTCAAGGGGAGTCTGTCTCATTTTCTCATTGGAGAGGGGACCCACCCGGAGCTACCATACAGTTCTGACCGCAAAGCCTGTGCCAGGGCTTCTCAAACGGCGCGTTGGAACTCCCGAGTGGGATCTGACCCCATTTTAATGGGCTCATTAGGGCTGGCTTAGACTTGCGGAGACCCAAGGCTGAAGCCGAAGCCTGAGGCCCACCAGCCAGACCAGAAACCTGAAGGTTGCAGTCCTGTGTGCTGAGATGCGGGTGTGCAGGTTCATTATCTTGCTCTGAGCTTGAGTGTCACTCTCATTGGCGAGGCAGGGAGGAGCCTTTGGACAGCCAGGAGGCCCTCACCAGTCCAGTCCATCCTTCTGGCGAGTGAATCTAGTGCTGTTCTTGCTGTAAAATTGAGCAAACCAGCGTCTGTGCCTTTGGATTGTGGAATCTTCTTTGACCAGCAGCGGCTTAGAAAGATACTGCTTGTTATTCCAGATCATGATGTCACGTTCAAACTGTTGACGGGAAGAAGCAGAATTATGGTAAGTACATGGACCTTTGAACAAGAGGCTCATTCACGCTACCAGTTCACTGGTGCTGCTGCTCGTGCAGCACACGAGTGGATCCAGAGATCCCACTGGTTCTGAAAAAACTCAACCGTTCAGCTTTGGCTGACACTGTATTGAATTAGCTTTTCTTAGCCACAGAGCACCCACATTAAGTCCCGGCAACCGCGTCACATGTGCAGGGGGATCTTCACAGATTGGTGGTGGTCTTTTCTGCCCCATTCATGGAGGTTAGGTCCATCAATGGCTATTAGCCAGGAGGCGTAGATGTCCTTAGCCTCTGTTTGTCAGAAAGTGAGAATGGGTGACAGGGTGGATCACGTAATGATTCCCTGTTCTGTTCATTCTCTCTCGGCTACTATCGGCAGATAGGACACGGGGCTAGATGAACCTTTGGTCTGAACCAGTCTGGCCGTTCTCATGTTCATTTCTTTATCAAAAACTGTTTTTTGCATCTGTGTGGGATTTCTCAACATTTCTGTCATCCTGGAGGTCTGTCCCCTTAGCACCACTTCAGGTTTAGAAGAGTTTCTTTTTGACACCTCTCACACGCTCCGGGGGGGCTGAATAATAGCGTTTCCCTTCCCTGCCTAACTATTCCAACACCAAGCAGATGTGGGGCTAAGCTTGGCATGGATGGGCCTTTTAACAACTCTGCAACTCAACCGCTCCGTCCACAGGACCACGAACAGGCAACAAGCCTGGACTCTGGCAGCCCAACATGGAAGGCCTTGTTCCAGAGCGGCTGGCCTCCCGGTAGGAAATACCCGGAACGCACGGCCTTCCCTCAAAGAGGGAGGGTGAACCAATTCAAGGGTTTGAGCTCGTCAGGCCAGTAACAAGCGCTCCCTGGGGCAGGCGCGCTCGTGTCTAGGCTCCAGATGCGTCAAGACTTTAATGGGGTAAGATGAACAACTTAAATTCCACCCAAATATAAGATCAATGGAGCTCAATTTGCAACATGACCTCTGGCGAGACTAGTACTTCCAAAGGCTGTAATGGCCGCTGGCTGCTTCTAGCCAAGGAACCCTGCGCCCTCTGAGCTACCATCGTCAGGCAGAGCAGCCGTCTCCAGTTTTCATGGAGTCTACACTGTCAGCTGTAAACTGGATGCAGGCCTGATGGGACAGAAACCACTGAAGGAATGGCAGGGCCTGTTGGGGGCAGAGACTGCCAACGTCTCCTCAGAGAGCGGGGCAAGCGGCTTTCCTGGTGCCGTGCCTGCTGACTGCGGTGGGGGGGTGTTCTCAGGCACTGGGCAGAGACTCAGGAATTCTGGATTCAGTTAAGGGCACAGACTTTGGGCAAGTCACCTGATTCTTCTGCCTCTGGGACTCCTCTCTTA